TTTATCTCAAAATTATGAATTTGAAAACTATGAGGTAGATGGCTTTTTAGGGATGAGAAGAAAGAGAAAAAAGTTCCAACAATGTAATTTTCTTTTTAACTGAATAATTCATTTTAGCCCCAATCTACATGGGTATGTTTTGGTAGGTTTAGACCCAACTACAGCTGCATACATCATAAACAAGAATAAGCTTTGTGGTCCATCCAAATTTTTGAGACCAAAAACCTGGAAATTTTGAAATACTTCATGGTTTTGAGCCCTCTGAATTTGCTGTATTTCTTCCTGAAACATCATTGGAAGGCCCAATACGCATTGAAAAGGTTAAGAAGGGTATCTCAGGGGGGGGGGGGAGAAACCATGAAGTAGGAGTTCTGTAAGTCCATTCTTATGGCTTTGAGTATGGTTTTACATAGCCCTATCCAATAATATAGATGTGAAAAAAAACTAGAGCCACTGAGCCAAATGCTTGGTGCTCATAATTCTAAACTCTACACACCCATAAGAGTTCAAAATTGCAATAAAAATAGTGTCAGAGTATATGACCCTCTGGGGAGGTAGGGCTGGTGTTTCAATTTGATATTTTGCAGGTGGGGAAGGGTTAGTTTATGCCATCCGCAACTGTAGCTCCAAATCAAGATCTGGTTCAAGTTGATCATGTCTAAATCTGGCCCAGTGTAGTTGCAGGGCTGGTCTGAGTGCCTCAATCTGCACTAAGTTAACAACTGATGTGGATGCTCTTACAATACCAGAAACTTGCTTGGTATAATTGAGGTTGCTGAAGAAGGTGCTTAATGACAACCATATTGGTCTCAAACAAGTTTAAAGATGGCATTCAGTACCCGTTTGCGGGTACCCGTTACCCGCGGGCAGGTACCTGCCACACCCGCCAGACACCCTCCAGGCGGTGCCAGGTGTGGTCTCGGGTCTCTGAATTGGCCCAAAGAACGGGCGGTACCGGGGTACCCTTAACGGTACCCGCCTGATATCCCCTAGTATATGATGAGGTGAGCTAGGGTGGATGTTTTTGATTAACCCACCATATCCAATCACTCGCCACCCTCCGACCCACTTTCACCCTCCACCTCAATCTGGCCCACTCACCATGAAATCCAACCGCAAGCGGCACAAATCAAACATATCATCGGCCTCATCCTCTCAAGCTCATCAAACAAATCTCACCCAAACCACCAATACCAACGAGCCCAGAGAAAGTGATTCAATCCTTGAGGATGCCATCCCCAGTCCAAGCAGCACTCAGCTCCTTTCTGGACCTACTCCCGAAGCCGATGAAGCAAGCAAAGCCAGTGACACCAAGGCCTTAAGTATGTATTTTCATTTAATCAGGTAAATACAATCCTTCAATCTGACCGAATATTGTTATTTATATTCAGATAAAGCCTTGAAGCTTGCTGGGGATGCTCTCAGTACAACCTACAAGTCGTACATGCCGCCTGAGCTCTCTGATCAACGTGACAAGAGGGGTAACCGCATGATCAGCTTTCGTTGTAAGATGTGAGTAAATTTCACTTTGTTTTTATCAATCGTTCCTTCTATCATTTGTTTCATAACTGAAGCACAACTTTCACTCAGATGTGGCACTAGTATAAACCGTCCGACTTCAGACAGCTCATGTGGAAACCTCAAGAAACATGCATCTAACTGTTATCGCAAACTAACTGAATCAACCTCGAACCGATCTCTTGCGGAAATGGGTATCAAGGGGACTGGAGACATTAACCCTGCGGAGGTAAGCAAATTTTTTAATTACAGACCATTTGCATGGTGACAACTGACCATTGTTTATTCCTCTAGGTCAATCAACTCTGCGCGATCTGGTGTGCCGAGGCCGCCAGACCGTTTTCTGCCCTTGTTGATGCAAGCCATCAAGCCATCCTGCATCCAACAATCAAAAAGTTATTACCGGGACGACGGGTGGTCTCAAAAGACATCCAAATGATATACTTAGCTATACAACAAAACTATAAGGCAGTACTGAATGTGAGTACAATTTTCACTTATCACGATCATATCGTTCTTACTGACTCATCTTGATTTTTGAAAATTGGATGGATCATAGGCACACAAGGGCGCCTTGTATCTAGGAGTCGATGCCTGGCAGTCACCCAATGGATTTGATATCCTGGGTGCTTTCATCTACCGATTGGTTGAAGACAACTCAGGTGGCTCAAAGCTAGAGGCTTTGCCTCTCGACTTCATTCAGCTGGCTCAAAGTCACACAGGGGAGTATTTGGCTCGGGTTGTTACCTTGGTGGTGGAAAAGTTTGGAATCCAAGATAAAGTAAGTCCAATTGGTTTGATCCATTAGAATCCTCCTTTGACTGAACTTGATGGTTTCAGATATGCGGCATCGTCAGCGACAATGCGTCTAATAACAAAGTTATGGTTAACGAACTCAAGAAACGCAAGTGGGTGCGGTTCAAAGGCGAACCGCAATGGATCCGATGCTTTGCCCATGTGCTCAATCTCATAGTGCAAGGTATACTCCGACCGTTCGGAAGCCAGAAGAACTCAAAGGCTCACAATGAGACGACCACTGCTCCGGATGACTCAGATGATTCAAGTTCTGAGGCTGGAGATTTTGAGGAACATGTCCCCAAGTGAGTCTTCCTAGAAGCTAATCAATGGATTAATTTTCATGTTTTCTTTTCACATTGATGTTGATTTTTTTCCTTTCCTTTTTTCTTTTACCATTGTAGAATTACCCAAGCTGGAGATGACTCTGACTCCTCCTCGGACAATGAAGAAGATGAAAGTGGAGACGAGTTAGACGAAAACAACCAAGAGGAGACCGAGTTCCTCAGCCTGGAAGATATCGAAAATGCGAGCGACGAAGAGGAATCTGATACTTACACAACCACTGGTTGCAAACAGACCTTGGCTAAAGTAAGTGTGTTTAGCCATCTTTGTTGGATAGATCAAAGAATTACTGACACTTCTTGGCAAATGCTTCAGTTCCGTGCAGTTGCCAAGAAGTTGAGATACTCCCCCAATTCAAAAATTGAGTTCGTTCAGGTATGTCGCGAGAAGGGATGTCAAACCCCTCATAACATCGAACGAGATGTCCGAACCAGATGGAACTCAACCAATGCCCAACTCAGAAGCATCATCAGGTGTGAGGCTGCCATGTGGGCCAATCTTTTCATCAATCAATGATTGAATATTACAATATAAAACTGACCAAATCTTTCCAACCAGTATTGAGTGGCAGCGTCACAAACGTCATGGGATTGAGAGGAAGTATTACTTGGATAAGTCAGACTTTGACTTAGCGCGCGACATGGTCGAGGTACTCAACGTTTTCTACGAGATAACACAACAAATCTCGATTGCTGGCTCGCCTCGCCTATCAAATGTGGTCTTATTCATTGATCAGATAACAGAACACCTATCAACAGCTATTGGTGGAGCAAAGTATCCACCGGCATTGAGGAATGCATGCCGGGTTGGGTTGAAAATTACAAATAAGTACTATAGTCTTACTGACTCCTCTCCTTTGTATCGGATTGCGATTGGTATGTTTTTTCACTTTTTGAATCTTGATAAGTATCCAATACTGACAGGTTGGAGCTCTTGTCTGCTCCAGTACTACATCCCTCATTTCGGGACGAGTACTTCAAGCTTGTCGGCTGGGAGCCCGAGTGGATCTCCGAAGCTATACAACTCACTCGGGACATGTGGGTCTCTTGCTACAAACCCCAAATCATCGCTCCTCCTGCCTTATTGACTTCAGCTGCCCCAAAGGTCAGAAATTAATCCAATCCACTCGTTTGAAATGAGATAGTTGACTAATTTCTTTTCCTCAGCCCAAAACAGGAATGCTGGCCGGCCTTGGTAGCGCGGCTGCAGCACGAGGGGGAAACAACCTAACCGACCCCTTAGACATCTGGCTTGCTGGTGCCCTCATTCTGGACAATAACGAACCCGTCAATCCCCTCAAGTGGTGGTTGGCCCAGAAGAGATCGGGAAACACACACGTAGGCCTCTTGCAAATGGCACTCGATGTGTTGAGCTGTCCAGGTGAGTTGATCAGGATCTGACCCAATGCAATACAGCAAAGACTGACAATATATTCTTCTCTTTTGCAGCTACATCTGTTGATGTTGAGCGGGCGTTTAGTTTTGGACGAGATTATGTGTCAGCAAAGAGACACAGGCTCTCAGCGCGGTCACTAAGTAGAGGGATGACCGTTGCATTCTATTCAAAGAATGGAATGATCCAGGAAGGGGTCTTGGCAAAGTGGAAGGCTGGGATTCAGACTACAAAGAAGGGTAAAAGACAGGTCATAGAATTAGAAGATTAGCTATAAACAAGAGAGAAACAAGGAACATTGCAATTTAACAAAGCTTGAGCACAAATGAGCAGGGAGAGTACCCCTGGTACCCGCCTTTAGTACCGCCGGTACTTGCTGGAACCGGATGGGCGGTATCTGGTGCGGTACCAAGCGGCTGCCTTAGCCAATATAACAAGAGGTACCCAGGTACCGCTAGCAGTACCCGGGTACCGAATGCCATCTTTAAACAAGTTGCCAAGAAGGGATCCTCCCCATGAGAAATGTGGCTGAGGAATCTTGTCCACCTGCTTGGTCTTGATTGAGTCACCAAGGTGTGGGTTTGGGGGAGGGTACCCTGGTACCAGGTGGTTTTTTTGTCACAATGAGGCACCAGGTACCAGACCCAAGCACTGATGACCTGGCACTACTTGACCAGGTACTGGGTCAGGTTGAGTTCTGGGTAGACTCAAGATACATCCAACAACCAATCAGATCCATGTACAGACCAAGACTAGAACATGATGTCCCTGTCCTTGAGTAGGGATTGAACTGACAACCTCTGATGACACTCTTCTTCCTTACAAAACATTGCCTTTTGATGCAGAAGGTACCTGGCAGCAGGTGCACTGCCACTAGCTAACACAAGGTCACCTTGAGTATGTTCACCCAAGGAAAAAAAAAATGAAAATAGTTCCTGACTTTTAATTCTTGCCATCTGATAATTTTCTTCCACCAATTCTTGATATTGGAAGTCCAATTGGTGACTTTTTTGGGGATTGATTAGTGGACTGTTAAAAATCCACATGTTCTCTGGGAGGCTAGAGCAGTTCAATTGCAACAGAGGGACAACAAATTACAAAAGGTGCATCTGCAGTCAATAAAGACTATTCAGGATTCAGTATACTTTTGGGATAATAAAAAGAAACCTGGGCACCTATTAAAAGAGAGAAGACCTACTGTTAGTTTACAAGAAGAGTCCAGATTCACAGTGGGGAAAGTAATTTGAAAAAACAATGTAACACGCATTACCATATTTTAGAGCGAATGCCCAGAGGAGCCTATGCCTTGGAAGAGCTCACCGGTTCAGCTTTGGCTAGACAACATGTAGCAAGTCATGTTGAGCTCTTCTTCCAACAGAGAAAACAAAGAGATGGGTTTACCTACTGGTTTGACCACAACTGTCAGTGTCACCTTGCGGGATGCCACTATGATCGGCCGTGTTGAAGCTATGGTCGTTGGTCTAGAAATGAGAGGGGATAAAAAGAAAAAGAAAGTTAAAAAACCAATTGTAAGAAAGATTTAGTCAAGATCGATTTAGTACAATGAAAAAGGCCGGAACACTCACCAATCTGAAGCCATCACAAATCTCCGAGTAGAGCTTGACGTAATCTTCATGTTCGTGGCAGTTGCGAGGGATGTGAGTTTTGTAGAAGGTGGCGATCTTGTTCAAGACGAAAGCCTCGAGCGAATCGAGTTCGGCTTGGGTGAAGGAGTTGGTATTGCAAAACGAATGGCCAGGAGGAGTTAACAACATGGATACCTCGAGTTCTTCGGCCGTTTTACCAAGGCAAGAGGGGCTTGATGAGGCATAGATAGCTGATTGGTTAGACATTTTAATTGATTTTGATGTTGATCGTGGTTGTTGTTCTGAAATGGTCGGGATGGAAAATGAAAAGAAGCGAGGACAGGGGAAACAACCAGGCCTGTAAAAAGAGGACTGGCTATGTAAGCTGAACAGCCTCGGTATCGAGAAGAAGCAACGCAAAAAGCCTTCCCAAATCGAATCGCTTCCTGTGCTTCAGACTTCAGTGCTGAGGTAAAGATTCCTGCTCATCCAAAGCAAACTTATCAGAGAAGAACAAGAAGAAAACAAAAACGACCGGCGTCCGAGAAGTCGCAGAGATCGATCGAATACAAGAAACAAGTATTTAAAAGATGGATAAAAACAAGATTAATAGGATACAACGAACGAGCTCAGCAGCTCTTGTAGTTGTATACCAAGCGGAGACCACCGGCTAGAAAGCTTGAGGAGTCAGATCGGATAGCCGGGTGAGGCGATCTGAGAACTGGGCACATTGGCGGGCGTATTTCGACTCGTTTTTTTGTTGTTGTTTTTTGACGAGAGGGTGTTGACAAGGTTTGAGAAGATGAGATCTGAAAAGCGAATTGAGAAAATTATCGGACAAGTGGGATTCCAGAGAAGAGCAAAGGGCCAAGTGTTTAATTTGTTGACTGGATTCATATTTGCTTTCACTTCCATTAAAAGGGGAGCTTCCCGCCGCACTTTGATATGTACTTTCCAATCAAAATCTCTTGATGTATCCCGCTGCCTGCAAACAAATCTTTGCCCATTTGCCCTCTGAGGAGGAATCCTCTTCGGAGATCCAGTGGGAGTATCTCAGTACATAGAATTGAGGGACAGTCCCCTCAATCCAACATGCCATCCCCCAGCACGGGAGGGGTCGTCAACTGCAGCGAAGGCAGTGTTAATATTTGCACCGCGCGTAAAAAAAGTGCATTTATAATGGAAACTGCTACAAAACTCAAATTCTTTTATTGTGCTTGCTGGCTTGGGGGAAAGCAACCTTTGGGAATTCAACGGTTGTGAGGGTTTACTATTCAAAGAGATGATCAAGAGCTCAATCAGTTTGAACCAAAAGAACAAGATCAAAACCAGATGAATTAGTATTCATAAAGATCCGAAGTTTTGGCCGTATCGGACCGGAAAGGAATCCAGATATAAATAGCTGGATGCTTGAGATTTCGATTGGATTTTTATCTATCGCTATGGAATTCCAGCCATCGAGGCACATAAATAAATAGATTTGATGGATTAATATCCTTGGATCACTAGAGCAATATTGATCTCCGTCGAGTTTTGTATAAGTGAATGTCTTGCTAAAGCCTGGTAGTGTACATAGCTTCTGGTATTAATCTGGTCTGCTTCGAACTGTCATCTTAAAATCGGTGCCAAGCTCTGTAAGAATACACTTTACCAAATCCAGACCGTGTCGCATTCCCTTGGATTATTTCCAAGATGCAAGATACATTTTACTTCTTTCCGACTGCTCAGCCAGATCCACCCAGATTCTGAAAGGCAAGCAAGATTGTATGGGATATGGATTGTCTTGAAGGATGGATTTCGGAAACAAGAGAGAATCTTGATTCTTGACAGAGATTGACTCCATCCATAATATTGCTGGTTATGTAACTTCATGAATTATAATGTGCATCCCTACGATCCTTAATTATTGTAAATACCTTGGCTTATGTGATCCAGTTTGGATGATTTTCATGAATCCGAGCAGCTTGAGCCAGTGGAAGTGTAAAGGGCCACAGCGGCCAATAGGGTATGACTATGACTATGACGACACAGATGGGTGGAAGGGAAATGAGAGAGCTGCGTGATGGCCGCCCACGTGGTAGTGGTATGCACCGGTGTGACAACAGCCAACAGGTGACAACTCACATCGAGTCCAGTGGGAGGGTTTCAGAGCAATCGATGGACATGGCTTCGAACCGAATGGCGATGGATCTGGCAGCTCATACATCTTATTAGGAGATGTGATCTGCATTCTCTTCAGGCATGTCTTCCGGTTCCTCAGAGTCAAACCCTTACAGCAAATTCAAATCAATCTGCTCCGGTGCTCCCAGATCCCGATGCAAAAAAGCCTTGCAATCGACATGGAGCAGGATAAATATGTATGAATCAGAATAGGGTTGAATTTGTTTGCAGCCGCTGCCAAGATGGAAACCTTATTAATTCAACTCATAAGAGGAGAGTCGAAAAAAAAAAAAAACGACAGCAGCGTGAAAGATATGTACAACAAGAGGGAACATCGGAACGGCTTCCAGAAGAAGAAGAAGAAGAAGAAGAACTTCCAGTCCACAGCCTGACAAACATATTTCACACTCTCCACGTTCAGGGACCACTGCTGATTGTGAGCTTGGGCGATCTGGTTATCTACAATTTATTTATTTAAAGACTGTCTATCATCGATCATCAAACACCCTCAGGAGTCTCGACCGTCCTCGTGCGTTGCAGATTCAAATCCGTGCAGATCCCCACTGGATCGACTTCTAAGAACGTGTTCCAGCGTATTCCCTGCTCCTCTAGGACCAATTACCAGGATTCCGCCAAACGACAGTGCGGGGTAAGTGACCTCTGTTACGTATCCGATCTATATGAGAGTAGTCTTTGACCGATGACTCTCGACGTAGCCTCTGTTGTTTGATTTTCCGACAAGTCAGCTCTGCAAGCAGAATATCCCGAGTATAATGTCGGATCGGCTCATGGACAACTGTTACCCTCCACTGGACGCCGTGGAATCCCCTCGGATTATTGACCTGAGAGGCGGCGGCTGCGATTCGTCCAACGGCTTGACCGAGCCTTCTTTGCGCCAAGAAATCATCGATGGTCTCACCAGACAGACGCTGGTGGTCCCCGGGAACGCGCCGGAAGATCGCTCTTTCGCTTATTCCAAACTCATTCCTACCGGTGAGTGAATCGTCAAGATCTCTGGGTAGCCAGTTCGATGCCCCATTCTTTCGGGCCAATTAGCTTCCATTGGTCGAAACCATCCAATTTTCCACATTTATGTAAATTCCCGTGCGGGCCGTTGGAGCTATTACATATCAGCCCGCCACCCCCATGCATGATGGGTAAATCTCACCGGCTTTCGGTCGCCCACACGTCGACGAGGGCTGAGACGCGGGAAAGCGGCCTAAATGAACGCCAAGCCGTCCCGAGTCCCGGCTGAGTCACGCTGATCCCCGTCTGGACTTGGCTTGAGGCACAATGTGCTTGTAACTGGCCTCTTGGAGAATATGCCGAAGAGCAAAAGATGTGGCTTTGGTGAAGATATCCAATCGCCAGCGAGCCTGAGGGCCTAAGTTCCTCATCGGCAAAGGGGGCCGAGTACTGACTAAAATCACATACACTCTCTGTACCCCTCTAATGATATTAATTTTTTTTTTAAAAAAAAGTCGCGCCAAGATGGGGATCATATAGTCTTTGCCAGTGATCATGTTTCATTGATGCATAATTGCTCTGCTTTTTTTTTTCCTCGTTATCTGCTCTGTCCCACGGATTCTGAACCTTTCTGAACTGGCGGTAACGTCATGGATCCACGGAAATCTTCGGGATTGTTCGCACGTCTTTGGTCACTAGTCGTTTTATGTATGTCTGATATTTTGTTCCCTCAGCGTCATCGTGAAAAGAAAAAAAAATGTCTTTTGTTTTGTCGGTTGAAGGAGTTCCAGGTCCATCAAAGCTTTGATGTGCACAACACACATTCGGGCTGGCCTGGGGGGATTGATTTTTAGAATGCGTGGTTGACCACTTCCGAATCTCTTTCCCGTCGACTCAGATGACAATTTCGGCCTGGAACTGTATGACCAAATCACGGCGGTTGAGGACTATTATGTGAGTTTTGAAAGATTCGCGTAGGATGCCTTAGCTGGTTTGCTTTGTGTCGGCTCCAGTGTCTATCTGTGTCACACGCTCGGCGCGCGAGCATATGGGCATGGTTTGAAATGCTGCTGACGCTAAACGTTTGTAGCCCTTTGCCACCGAGTTGGCAATCCTACGGGCCAAGAGTCGTGAAATCGTGAGTGAAGTTATATTATTTCCCTTGCCCGGAGTCTTTTGCTTGTGATGGCTTCTTTAGGCCCGCACGTTGGGAGTCAGTCCTCTGTGCCTCCTGGCTTTCGGCGATGAACTGATGATGATCATGCTCCCTGTTAGGCTTGTCGGCTCGGTGGATTTTCGACTGCTTCAACGTCCAAAATGAATGAAACTCTGTTGGTAGACGCAGACGGACGAGAAGAGATAAATCAGGCAGGTTCGGACGCGTAAGTTGATTGATCCAGTCTTGGCTTGAGTTTCGCGTCTCTCCTCAGTGCTTTTGCCGGATGATCCACAACGCATGTGATTTTTTTAGTCGCGCTAATATGCCTTTTTTTAGTCGCGCTAATATGCCAGCCAACCACGTTCCTTCCAGTGGCTTGAGATTTGTTAAGCCTCTGGCCGCAGTGCCCGAAGATTCCTCGTCCTCTCCCGCGAAGGCCACTGGATTTTCCCTTACAATTATCGAGCTGGGGGCTGGGTAAGTAGCACATTCTTCCTAGTGCTTCAACCCCTTGCTCCCAATCTGCGCTCCCGGGCGAGTTGCTTGTAGAAATTGATTTTGTGGACTTATTTTTTATAGTTCGTTGAAAAAAACTTCACATCTATTGGACAATGTTGCTCGACTTCTTCGAGATCGCGAGGGTGAAGCTCGAACCGGGCCGTATATGTCGCAAGCGGAATATTATGCAGTGAGTCTTTGAATGTTCGACATATTCAATACAGCCACCTTATCCTTTTCGAATCTGTAGCTCGATCTAGAGATGGAGCAGTTAAGGTCGACTTTATCGGCGATCCAATTGCCGGAAGATAGTGGAGTAGGACCGACAGTCGGAAAGCAGGTTCAAGGTCATGGTATCTGCGGGACTTATACCCAAGGCTTGGATTGGATTTACAAGTCGCTGACTACGAGTAGTCAAGCGGAGTCTGTGGAGCTTGGAAAGGCCGGATGTCGCAAAGCTATCCTTTGGCTAGGATCTTCTATCGGCAACTTTTCTCCTGCAGAAGCCGTTAAATTTTTGAGAGAGGAACTCGGCCGAGCACTGGATAATGACACTCGAGTATTGATCGGGATCGACAATTGCCAAATACCAGAAAAGGTTCAACTCGCTTATAATGATCGACAATCAGTCACCAAGAAGTTCATTCTGAATGCGATTACAGTCGTCGCTCGCCGTCTGGGTGTGCCTGAAGCCGTCTTGAGCCTTGAAGATTTTGACTACGTCTCACGGTATAATGAAGGTATGAGTCGGAATGAGGTCAGTCAAGAGAGAATCAATCAATCAATCCCTCGCGTCCATCACTTTCCATCACGCCTTCCACTCAAGGCATGGACTTGGAATAAATTTCTGCGACCAGTGGAAGTTTTAACGCTTTTGTTGTTTGCATCATATTACCCACAGGCTTATTTGCGGGCTAGACGGGATATCAATTTCGAAGTCACGTCAGTCGAAGGAATCGGCACCGCAGTTGAAAGTAGTTTGATCCAAATCAAGGCAGACGAATTGATCCTGGTGGAAAGGTCTTATAAGTTTTCGCCCGACGATGCCTATCGATTGTTTGATCAAGCGGGTCTGCGAGTCATACAGAAATGGAGTGATTCACCTGACCCAGTTGCCCCGACACACACACTCTACCTCATAGAACGTGCGGCGTTTCATTTCTTTCGCACGGCGCCATGGCCTTCTATGGGAGATCTTCCGCTATCTCCGGCTGATCGGCCGGTAATTCACAAGGAAGCCTCACCTAATTGGCAACTACTCGTGCAAATTTGGGATACAATGTCAAAACATTCTTTACCAATCCGGATGTCAGACGGTCATCAGCACAAATCTCCAAACACATCTTTTTGTAAGAAAATAACCTTACCGGAGTTTTGTTTTTCCGTTTTTCCTTATATTTAAGTATCTGATTTCCAATAAACTCTGCAATTAGATTCTGAGGGAAAAAATTCATCCATCGGGTCGGCGGATTTGAGTTCGACAACTAGTGGGGGATTGCCCTCCATGTCAGACTGGATCACCTTGTGGAAAGCATGGGACACGGTAACAATAGAAATGATTCCTAGAAATATGATGCATAAAAAACCCATTGATTTACGACATGCTTGCTTTTGTGAGTGATCGACTGACGTCAAGATCCTGATTAATCCTTCGATCGATGAGCTTACCTGTCTCGATCGGTCGCGTATCCAACAGTTTATCTGGGCCACATACCAGTGTTTGCAGACATCCATCTTAGTCGATACTTCAATGTAGCAACCGCGGAGCCTCAACGGTTTGCAGAGATTTTCGAACGCGGAATCGATCCCCACTTGGACGATCCCAGCAAATGTAACGATCATTCTCCGTTTCCCGATCAAGAGAATGAATGGCCATCCTTCGAAGAAGTGATTGCATTCCGAGATCAATTGCGAACAAGGCTTACGGAAGTTTATGAAGGACTTGGAAAAGAATTTATAGGGAGTAAGATTTTGCTGACAAGGAAGCTGGGGAGGGTTTTGTCAATGGTTAGTCATTGATCGTGCCTGTTTCGTCACTCTTCTTGTTCAACAACAGACCCTTTCTTACGTGTACTTATTGCAATGGCTATATATAAAAACATGTCCATTGGTAGATATACGAGCATGAAGCTATGCATCTTGAGACACTCCTGTATATGTTGCAACAGACAGATTTCTTTAATCCTCCCCCTGGGTTTACGCCGCCTGATTGGGACTCCTTGGCTCGTGAATGGGATTGTACGGTAACTGCTCAAAGTGAAGCGTTCGGACTGATTGAATACTCGACTCCGCAAACAATTACTGTGGGGCATGATGATCTGGAGGAAGAAGATTCTTCTAAACCATTTTCTGAAGCTCACGAGTATGGATGGGACAATGAAAGTCCTTCAAGGCAGGTGGAGGTGAAGCCTTTCAAACTCGAAGCAGCACCCATCACCAACCGCGAATACCTCGAATTTATCCTCCAAGGGCTTTCTAATTTCAAACCCATCGACGATCATGCGATTCCTCAATCATGGATTTATGTCTTCGACCCCAGCGAACAGGAGTCGAAGAAACATCAAGTCCAGATCAAGACATTCTATGGGCGGATACCTTTTGTTGTTGCGAAGCATTGGCCGGTGCAAGCCTCGGGACGCCAGCTAGAACGTTTCGCGAAATGGAAAGGCGGCCGGTTGCCGACTGCAGATGAACTGAGGGTATACCTTTCCGACAACCCGATCAGTCAGTCCGTCCAAAGTCCCATTGGATTTCTCAACTGGCACCCCCTGCCACCTCAACGGCCGCGCAAAGGTGCCGATGGACGGTGGCGAGGAGGCTGGAACGGCGGAGTTTGGGAGTGGACTTCTACGACCTTTGAGCCTCATCCGAACTTCAAACCTAGTCTCTTATATCCCGGTTATTCGAAAGACTTCTTTGACGGTGAGCACAATGTCCTGCTGGGTGGCTCTTGGGCAACGATCCCACGAATTGCACATCGGCAAAGTTTCGTGTAAGTGTGAATCTCAGCTGAGGTCTACCTACTGCTTGAAAGTAACCCCAAGCTGAGAGATCTTTGATTGATTGTCTATACTCACGTTTGACAGTAATTGGTATCAGTTTAAGGTACGCATCAGAGTGATACGCTGCAGCATTAGATATTTTAAAAGGCCTGACCCGAATATTCTTTTTTGACAGTATCCATACGTTTTTGCGGGAGGCCGAGTTGCTTATGATTATTGAAGAGGTAAGACGGTGGCCCGCATTTGCCACAGCAAGCCGCCTAGCCTGTAAGGAGCTCCGTTCCTAGTCGTTGTGCAGTTTTAAATCATTTTTCCATATCTAACCGAGTTAGCCCAGTTTTTCTTTTTTTTCGATATGGATCCTCGATGTGCGATCGACGATTTCCCTCTAACAACTCATACGGAAAGGGGATAAGCGCCATCCTCATGTAGATACCCCCTACATATTAACCATTGTCCATAGCTTTGCAACCTCTGGGCTGGACTTTGTAGCTCAACAGTTGTATCATTTACCTGCGCCTCTACGGCTACCATCATGTCTTCCCTGTGCCCAATATTAACGATGCAAGAGTGCTCCGCTTCTACTTCATCCTATAATTATTATCTCGTCGCTATTGAATTCTTATTAATCATAGACACATCATATAACCTTCCTGACTAATTGTATGCGCGCAATGCCAAAAACAAAACCGCATGTAAACAGAAATAATAACTATTGGAAGCACGGAAAAAGACTCCCATCATCCATGGCTAACACGCCTGCTGCATAATGAACTTGGTACCGAAATTTCAGATCCGCGAAGTCCCTAATTTAGTAGTGGACTCCGGGGACAACAAAGTTGTCTTTTTTTGACTAGCGATTTGGGCGATACATAAATACTTGGGTCGACAGATCTCCACTGAGATTCACGTTCAGACTAATAACTTTCCTCGTTCGGAGTGGTAAAACGTTTCCCGCATTGCGCCCGGCGGAGGGAGGCCGCGGGAAGGCATCCCCCATCCCTCCGTTTTCTTGAAGGACTGCGTCAATAAGTGAGACCTTCAGGTCTGTCCAAACGTCACACTTTCTCGGTATACTATCAATGTTGCGCTGTTCGAACCCGATTGTTGTGTACTCGTCGTGAAGGATTGAGACTTGAGAAATCGGCGATGATACATACACTTCGCGAAAGGGTCGAGGACCCGCTCGGGTGGCTCGCCAACATCGGCGAATCGGCAAGATCGAACTGCGCGGCTCATGAATTCGGGCACCCCGGGGGGGGGGGCATCATTCATCGATCACAGCCGTCGATCGATGGTTGTCTTTTCCTTCGATCAACTCCTCACCAAACCATCTCCGATAAACCATCATGGCCGAAGTCGAAATGGAAAATGCTGAGGTCCCACCACCCGATACCGATGAAGACTCTCCAGACCAGATCCTCAACCAGTTACTCGAAGTCATGTCGGCTCTACAGACCAATCCATTCGATTATTCACTCCATGAACGCAACGTCGCGCTATGTCAGAAACTTGGGGCCGGTACTATCGAGGAACTCAATCAAGCACGCACTCTCATGTCCGAGTATTTCCCAGTTAAAGAAGGTTAGAATAGACCATGCTACTTTTTTTTTCTAAGCAAAAATAAAAATAAAATCGAAGCCTGTTGCCCGAAGTCTAATTAACTAATGATTCATCCACCCTCTTTACGCAACAGATTTTTTCACAGATTGGGTCTCTGACGTGGTTTCCAGTCATCAATCGCCGTACGAAGTTGATTGCGTCCAAAAGGTCCTAGAGATTTACGAGCAAGCCTCATCCTATTCATTTTGTAAGGCATTAATTTTTACAAAGAAATAAAGATTTTGTATCTGAAACCTATCCTATCATTTGCTTAAACAGTTTTCAAAATCGAGACTACCAGACTTCGATATATGATTGATCTGTTTTACTATGCTCGCGGGTTACCACCGCCTGCTGGAGAAGTGATCGAACGAATCGCAGAATCTTCAGAAATTGATACCAAGGATCCCGACCATGTGACAGAAAGAACTGAGGAGCAAATAGCTTTGGAAAGTTTCATCTCCGAAGAAAGGCTACGAACACTTGCAATCGATGTAATGGACAAGACAGGATATCATCTGCTAGAGGTGAGTTTTTGAACTTTTCAACTTGCCCTCAGTACACAGATTTTGGTCCAATTTTTAACAAAATGTCTTGAATATAGAGTTCAGCCATTTGGAATATGTGGGCGATCCATGAATTCGATAACCTCAAGCGCAACTGGAAGTAAGTTGTATCATCCCTCTACTCTAAGATTATGGACTGATTCGTTCAATCATATTCAAACAGCACAGATGGATTAGCGCAGTTTAAAAATATGGTTCAAGCCAGACTACGTATTCCCCACACAGGTGAGTTGCTGCCACGATCTCTTAAAACTGGAAGTTCCCCCTTGACTAACACATTCCCCTCCGAACCTGCACCAGATAGCCCTAAAACCTTTCAAATGTATTCTAATTTGATCACAAAATATGAAAATAACAACTATGAAGAAGAAATGGTAGCTGTAAACACTCTATACAGTCCAGCCCGGAAGCTGATGGAGGATCGTGAAGCACATGAGGCCCAATTGGTATGTAGAAACACCCCAAATGATGCTGTTGACCTTCTAGCTCAACTGACTGACAATATCTTCTTTCGTCCCCCCAAAAACCTTAGAAAAAATCTGGCTATTCTTGCCAGGAATACCTAAAATATATATCCTGGGAGATCTCTCGCAAACCCTCCCACTTTGATCTGGCCCAGATGTTATTTGAACGGGCTCTTGCAGATCATCCAAACTCCGTCGAACTCTGGCTGGAATTCTTACGCTATTTGGTGCGACACTTCATGGAATTATCCAAGTCTGAGATTGTTGTTCCCATTGATATATTAATTGTTTCTCTTTTTCCGAACAGAATCATCACCGAGATCAACATGCACTGTCCGCGGCAATAGTAAAGCGGGCTACCCGAACGGTTCCGTGGTCAGGAGAAATATGGGCATGTGCAATCCGCACCTTTGTAAGCTCTTGTGTTCAAGTTTTTTTACGGGAAATCTCCGGCCGTTTACTCATCTCTACTATGGCGATCCCCCAGGAACGGAATAACCAAACTATTGAGGCAGTAGAGGGACTATGTGCCAGAGCTATCCAGTCCAAGTTCTTGGAACATGATATCGAGGCTTTAATAAGTTTTACTATAGGCCGGGCGGATTTTCACCGAAGAAGACTTGATGCATATAGTAAGTGGGAATGTCATTTATATGATAAAACTGATTATATTAGAATCTGTGTAACAATTCTTTTTTTTTATATGAATTCGTAGTCGTAGCGGGTGGAAATGAGAACGCGGAGCAGGTTAAGTCCCTAATTGATATGGTGGCAAATGTTCTTCACCATGGCATTGATACCACAAAGAAAGGTGGGATTTTCTGTTTCCACTGTGCGCACTACACCTGAAGCTGAATTTTGACTTTATTGTCCGCTGTAGTGCTTGCCAAAACTGGCGATCCGTCTTGCAGACTTGAAAAGTATCTCGCAACATTTGTACGCTCGCTCTCAAGCTTAAACAGTATGGCTGAGGACCAAGTCTGAAATAAAATTATCTCACAATCTCCGAGTAGTTCGAGCATCATGACCGGGAAGATGACGCTGCAAAAGTTTGGCAAAAAGCTACCAAGCAGTATCGAAATGCTTCGTCTCCTTGGATCTCTGCAGCTGAATGTGAAGCGTACGTTGTGAAGAGATGATTCAAGTGTCGCTATTATCTTAATGATATTTCTTCTACATTTTCAGGCGGCGTGGGGACTTGACTCGTGCTCGCGAATATTACAAAAAGTCATCCAACATCAAACTCGACTACCCAGAATATTTGTTGGAAGCATGGTTAACCTTTGAACATCATTTTGGTGCATTGGACGACCTTGAATATGCAATCTCAAAAGTCAATAACCTCATGAAAGGGATTAGTGCCCGCAGGAAAAGGGTGAGCTCCGATAGACTTACCCCAATCAGCAAAATTTGTCTTGATGAATGTTTACTTTAGGAAGCAGAGCAAAATTCCGAAACGCTTGCTCAGAACTCAAGCTTGGATAATACAGTGGGTGATGATGCTGGTGGCCGTGCCCCGGCAGAAACCGATGAAAATAGTGAAACTCGAAAACGGAAAGCTGAGACAATCGCCGAAACCAAGGGTGGCGATAAGAAAATCAAATTGAGTAAGCTACCACATGTTTTCTGCTAGATGGCACATCTCTGACGCTATAAATTGGTTCTCAGATACATTACCAACAGAGGCTACCACTTCCACAAACGCTGGGGAGGTGCCTGAATTGAAACGGTGAGTGTAGTTAACAAATGTTACCAGTTCGATTGTGCCTGATCATTTTTATCACACGCAGTGACCGCGAAAACTCTACTGTCCTGGTGGCCGGCTTAACACCTGAAACAAGCGAAGCAAAAATCAGTCAACTATTTCGAGACGTACGATGGTTTTGCAAAATACAAGTATCAATGAAGAGTAATAAGCTGATCAACTCTGCAAACTGATAGTGTGGTAGGATCCGTGAAATCGCCATTCATAAGATCAGCTCCGAGGATGTTGTGGCCACCGTTGAGTTTGAAGACCGGGTAAGCAGCTTGAACAATTTTAAAGCTTTTTTAGATCATCACAGGACGTTTCTTAACCTATCGAGTCCATGATTCTAGGCGAGCGTTTTGCCAGCGCAAACGAAGGACAAGAAGATGCTGGATGGAGTAGAAGTGGCGGTATCTTTAGCCTGGCGCTCTACCCTCTACGTTACAAACTTTCCTGAAGATGCAAACGATGAGTGGATTCGAAGCAAATTTTCTCAGGTAGGTCGGATTGTCTCTACACAATTTTCAAAGAGAAATAAATGCTCGACGCACTTTAATGCAGCCCGACTTGTCTTTGAGGCTGAAGAACAATTTCTCTCAAATTTGTCTAGTTTGGTAGTATATTTGATGTTCGTTGGCCTAGTAAAAGGTTCAAGAGTACTAGACGTTTTTGCTACATTCAATTTACTTCTCCAGTAAGTCGGGCGTCTTTCGTTCAAGTTCGGGGTCACGATTTCTCATCAATCTTGGATACTGGCCCAGGCATCAGCAGAGGCAGCACTTCAATTACACAACCTCGAGGTGTCCCCCAAGCAGAAAATGTCGGTGCTTATATCCGATCCAACGAGGAAACAAACTCGCAGTGATAATCATGCAAATGAGAAAGAACTCTATATTACTTGCCTCAGTAAATACGTGCAAGAGGATGATTTAAGAAAATTATTTTCTCAAGTATGTCACTGCTTGATTTCTACTAGCAAACTTATAGATTTTAACTGACTGGTTTGGCGGCAGTTTGGAGAAATCAAAGGTGTCAGAGTGGTTTTGGATCAAGCTGGACATTCCAAAGGTTTTGCATTTGTTGAATTCCAAAATGAGGTTAGAGTTTAAACAGATTCATTGACAGGATTACTGTCTCCGAAGACAGAAGGGGAAACTGATAATTGTGTGGCCAAAATCTGCTCTAGATGTCAGCCAAGGCTGCACTTTCGATGAACAATGTAGAACTCAAGAAGAGAAGAATCGGTGTCACCATCTCAAGCGCCAAGGGACTCTCCTTAGCTCGAAAAAATACCACATTCAAGGATGAAACAAAATTGAGTTCGGCTACTGATCATCGAAGCCGGAGTGTTAGAGTTTCTAATATCGCCGAAGGCACCCAAGAAGCCTTAATTCAACAAGCCTTCGAACAATTCGGTAAGGTTCTAAAGACAATTACCTATCCAGAGAAGAACGAGGCCTTGGTAGAGTTTGCACTCGAAAAAGTAGGTTGCTTTGGATTGAAAAAGACCTTGTGATCTGTCAGCATACTTGAAGCCCAGAAACTGAAAAAAAAACGATGCACATTGTATTTTCACTTTGTTAACCTGACAGGATGCCGGACGCGTGTTTTTGCATAAAGAGCCGATCGTCATCAACGACCAGAAGGTCGAAGTTTCAGTTCCGACGGCCACTTTAAAGAGCGGGATGGCCGCCTCGAGTTCTTTTACCCCTCTGCTACCTCGCTCGACTGTCAAGGGTAAGAAATCGCGAATCGGGCTGGGTCACAGTGGTGCTCGACCATCTCCCAAGCCGCAGACAACTAAGGAAGAGGTCAGCCCCGATCCTAAACAAGCTGGTTCTGCGAAAGATGTGCAAATGGCCGATCAGAGTCATTCGAACTCCTCTGCTAATGCTGGCAGTAAAACTCAAGACGATTTTCGGAAAATGTTGGGTTAGTCAATCCGAGGAGAATTTTTTGGCCTCTGATCAATTAATCACTACCTTTGTATAGCGGCCGCACTATCCTCATAGTCTATGGACTAAAATTTTGTTAAAAAAAGCAACTTGCGAGTTTTTCTTTTTTTTTTTTTCTCTCTTTGACTCGACACGATGAATTGCTTCCAGCAATGTATGTAATAAGATGAGAAACCAGATCCACAGAGATGCGAATGTAGGCTGTTTCATAGAAAATGCTGCACCAGAGTCCAGGTGAATTGGTCGCTGATTTTCAAAGGTGAATAGGCCCTGCCACAATCAGCCAACTGATTTGTCTGGCTGCAGTTGCCGCAAGTCCTGCACCAGAGATATATGAGATACATTATGTGAAGCATTCAAAAACGTCTACATTGTATTATACAAGAATCATTCTATTTCGCAGTAAGCGACGCAATAAGCTCCTTAGCGGTCTCTTCATTTTGAAGATCAGGGATGGGCTTTTTGTGAGCAATCAATTTGAGTACATGGTAGGCGACGAAAATTAGCATGGAATCAAAAGCCAACTGTTTGGCCCGCTTGGTCTTGCCCGCCAAGAGCTCGGCGACGAAGTGGGGCTCATAGGCCAGCGGCCGGGCCAATCCGACGACATCACACGTTCGGCCTTTGGAAGAGACGGCCGAGGCCATCCCTTCCAAAGTTCGGAAACCGCCGGTGACTGCAAGGACCGAGGCACCCGACAAGTGGGGACGGATTCCATCGGCGAATTCGAGGAAAAATCTGATCCCAATTTTCAATCCAAAGCCAAGCATAAATCATTCCGCTTTTATCATTGTAAACTCTGATGATCACTTTTTCTCAGTCGTCAGACCACTGACCCTTCTCTCTTCAACGTGCTTTCTCTCTTTTCTTCAAGCGGCATCAGTTCGTAAGTGCCCCCCGAAAGCTCAATCAACTCGACCCCCGCAGCCTCCAATTTTTTGGCCATCATCTGACTGTCCTCCTTCGTGAATCCGCCGTCAATAAAGCTGTGTTCACATGCACAGATACAGACCAAAATCAGTTTCAGTCCGCTTTGGGTTTGGGGAAGAACAGACAATTGGCGGAACAGAGAAATGGAACCCTTACTCATGAGAGTTGTATTTGATCGATAAAATAAACTTGGGGTCCTTGACTCTTTTCTTGATTGCATCGATAATTTCAAACACTATTCGACTGCGATTTTCGAATGATCCACCTATATAGATAGTGAGGTAAGTGGGCAGGACTGAGATCAGTCTCGCGATCATTTCACATGTGTTAGTGAGTCTCGATCCCTCCTCAGACACACCGTATTCATCCGTCCGCTTATTCACTCGAGGAGACAAGAATTGGGCTGAATATTTCAAGAAAAGCACGTTGGGATGTTTAAATGAATAAGTTTATGGAAGCCAGCTTGCAGCTGAGGTATAGAGACATACACAGCAGATACCCATGTGCCCCATGTAACTGAGCCCCGTCAGCTCCAGCTTTGTAGAGCACTTCAGCCCCGTAAGCGAACCTATCAACGACGTCCTACCACCGTGCAAAAAGAAAACCTTAAATGAGATGGCTGATGGAGGTTGCTTTTGTTTTGAAATGAGGCCGGCTACAGCAGTCTTTGAACTTACATGGATCTCATCCACACTCAATGCTCTCGGTTTGCCAAATTCCATCCCAAAGAAGGGAGGACTTTGAGTCTCTGAAGCTGATACGGGATCTAATCCAAACGCAGTAAAATCAACCATCCGAGACAGATTGTGATCAGCTTTTTTTTGTCAGGTTCATGTTGCCAGCTTCCAGATAGAGAGAGAGAACGAGATCGGACAGTTTGAAGACTGACTGGGATTGATCTGAATGGGCGTCTGTCTACCCGCGTGAGTCAATTGGCCAATCACCAAAGAGCCGTGCGCCTTCGATGCGTCCATGACCGGCTTGAAAGCTTCCACCGGGTCCCCTGGGTTTGCATACAAACATACATCAGATCCAGATTCATCAAGTTTTTGAACTCAGAGAGGAAAACATACATGAAGAGTCCTTGTCGATGATAGGATTTCCTTCCGCCTCGAGGTATTCACGGTGGACGGGTATGTTACCCTGAATTCAGTTTTTGTTTTTGTTTTTTTTGGTCAGTTTTTGTTATATATAGTTGTGGTGCTAGATGAAGGGAATTTTCCAAGACGATGATTGATCATTCACCAAGATGATGATTCCAATCTTTCCTTCGCTCCACACGCGATAGAGTTCAAGGTATTCCGGGGTGGGTTTTCCTCGGGCGTTCAGATCGAGCTTGTCAAAGGTGCAAAGACGTTCCGTCATGGCACTCTTCAACGTGCGACTTGTAAAAGGTCGACAAGAAGCAAGGGGTGTATGTATCAGTTTTTTCTTCTGCAATCTCGTTTCCAAAAACCTCTTCATGGTTTGGCAAAGTCTTGCCAGTCGGAGCTTACTTCGGAGCCTTGAGGCCTCCCTGAAACTTGATCGGTTGAGAAAGAACTTGAATAGGATCCATGATTGTAGTTATAAATACTTCTTTCTCTTGGAACACTTATTCTTCTATGTTTCTGCAATTAGGGACTGAATCCGACGGAAAATTGTAAAATATGTTGGGGGGAGGAGCACAAGCTGGTTCTCTTGACCCAGTCCAATCTGCTGCTGATATAGGATGCAATGCTATTTATGTGAATATGCCCATCGAGGAATGATGATCGGTAGAAGAAGCACTGCACTGAAGCTCAGGAGTCTGTGAGCAGCCATTCGAAGGTTTCAAACTGATGAGGACCGAATGACGTCATCGAGCTAATGACCATCCTGGCTTAGTTTGTCGGATGGATGGACAGCCTTTAAGAGGCTTTAATTGACTGGCTCCCATGGCCGTGTTGGGGGAACTGCAGCGGCCGGACTGGAGAATGAACCGTGAGACCATGGTAGTACTGCCAGGCTGGTATCCTACTGGGGTTGGACCTTGGTACTCCGGACGGGAATATCCTCGCTACGATCTGGCTGGCCGTCCTCCCCGCCACCATCTCATCGACAATTGGCGGCGATCACTTTCGGCCCCGTTAATTGCTGTGCTCAACTGCTTTGCACCCTTATAATCGAGTGCGCAGATCACCGCTGGAGACTCCATTATCTTGCATACTATCACCTGTTTCTCATTCTCTTCCCGACATCTTCCTCACTAAAGACTAAATTTCGACTCTGGAATGGAAAGACTAAACTTCCACTTTCTCCTTGACACGTTTTTGTTTTGTCTTTGATTAATCTGGCCAACAATGTTGTGGTTTTTGTTGCTGTTGTTGGTGTTCTGAAGCTTTTCTTGCCTGGTCTTTGATACATTTACTTGGGTCAAGCAATGGATTTGTGAGTAAAAATAATAAAGAGCAATCAAATATGTTGAGCACAGGTTCTGAAATCTGATCTGTAATAGTTATTCCTCAAGGCTCTATGGGAATCAGATGCTGCTGATACTTGATCTCAATTTCTTCTCCTTCCTTTTGTTATCCATCAAGCTTGGAATACGATAACATGTATTTAATTACTTTTTCCCCTATTATATATCCCCTTTTCTCACTGGATATCATGTGCAATGTGGATGATGCGTGATTCTATGTATTTTGACTCGAGGGGAGGAGAGGATTTGCCAGTTAACATACTATTGTAACCACAGCTGGGATAATATTTTTTATTCAGTTGGCATGCAAGAGATATGCCAGATAATTCATTCCACAGTTTCTGCATGGTCACTGGGTAATGAAGAAGATCGATGACGGCAGTTGGCGAACTCGGACCGGTTAAATCACGGGGACACAGAGGCCGGGATGTGGTGTGGTTTGCCAATCGAAAAAAAACCAGCGGTTAACCTCACCCGGACTACACACTGGCATTAACTGTCTGTCCGGGGACATCGTTCTACCTCGTTCAGGGCAGCGCGGTGAGACAAGTTTGTCCGGCCGGTCCTGCATTTCAGGGTGGTTGAACAGTATCTGTCCGGCAACCATTCGGGCCAGCTTATTCAATACTATCAGGTCGGTCGATCAAACTTGATTGCATCCCTTGTCGGGGCCGTCTTCCTAGGGTCTTGGCGTTATCGTTATCAGCAAGAAAGCCGCCAAGACCAAAAAAAAACAGTGACATGATGAAATATATTGCTATCTATCTATACTCGCGTAACCGAGCAAAGTTCCTTCAAATTCAGAGTAGGACTCAGGCCGGCCTCTGATGTCCAGTGGGTTTCACCCAGTTTTCAGGCTGAAGAGTCAAACATCGCCTTTGGAGAGAGTGTTCGATGGCTTTCTGACGAGTCAGGAGGCACCCGCAAGCTGCAAGAAGTTGTAGCACCTCATCAATTCTCATTCAAAAAAAACGTTTGCTTCCTGCATGCAGCGCTGATCCGACCCCCTAAATGGCCGAGAGCTTAAACTGGCTGGCTACAGTCC